CTCTGGGTCTCAGGCTAGACAGCACCTCTGGGTCCCAGGCTAGACAGTACCTCTGGGTCCCAGGCTAGACCCCACCTCTGGGTCTCAGGCTAGACAGCACCTCTGGGTCCCAGGCTAGACAGTACCTCTGGGTCCCAGGCTAGACCCCACCTCTGGGTCTCAGGCTAGACAGCACCTCTGGGTCCCAGGCTAGACAGTACCTCTGGGTCCCAGGCTAGACCCCACCTCTGGGTCTCAGGCTAGACAGCACCTCTGGGTCCCAGGCTAGACAGCACCTCTGGGTCCCAGGCTAGACCCCACCTCTGGGTCCCAGGCTAGACAGCACCTCTGGGTCCCAGGCTAGACCTCACTTCTGGGTCCAGACTAGACCTCACCTCTGGGTCCCAGGCTAGACAGCACCTCTGGGTCACCTCTGGGTCTCAGGGTATACAGCACTTCTGGGTCTCAGGCTAGACCCCACCTCTGGGTCCCAGGCTAGACACAGCACCTCTGGGTCTCAGGCTAGACCGTACCTCTGGGTCTCAGGCTAGACAGCTCCTCTGGGTCCCAGGCTAGACAGCACCTCTGGGTCACAGGCTACACAGCACCTCTGGGTCACAGGCTAGACCACACTACTGGGTCTCAGGCTAGAGAGCACCTCTGGGTCCAGGCTAGACAGCACCTCTGGGTCACAGGCTAGACCTCACCTCTGGGTCCCAGGCTAGACCTCACCTCTGGGTCCCAGGTTAGACAGCACCTCTGGGTCTCAGGTTAGACCTCATCTCTGGATCTCAGGCTAGACACACCACCTCTGGGTCTCAGGCTAGACCGTACCTCTGGGTCTCAGGCTAGACAGCTCCTCTGGGTCCCAGGCTAGACAGCACCTCTGGGTCACAGGCTACACAGCACCTCTGGGTCACAGGCTAGACCACACTACTGGGTCTCAGGCTAGAGAGCACCTCTGGGTCCAGGCTAGACAGCACCTCTGGGTCACAGGCTAGACCACACCTCTGGGTCTCAGGCTAGAGAGCACCTCTGGGTCTCAGGCTACACAGCACCTCTGGGTCCCAGGCTAGACTGAACCTCAGGGTCTCAGGCTAGATGGTACCTCTAGGTCCCAGGCTAGACCTCACCTCTGGGTCCCAGGCTAGACCTCACCTCTGGGTCCCAGGTTAGACAGCACCTCTGGGTCTCAGGTTAGACCTCATCTCTGGATCTCAGGCTAGACACCACCTCTGGGTCCTAAGCTAGACAGCACAACTGGTCCCAGGCTAGATGGCACCTCTGGGTCTCAGGCTAGACGGCACCTCTGGGTCCTAGGCTAGACCACCCCTCTGGGGCCCAGACTAGACTGCATCTCTGGTGCCCTGGTCTGTGCTGCTCAGTTCCCACCTGGGGAGGTAACCCACACTGGGCCTGGTTTTCACTTTGACCCGAGGGGCAGACATTGCTCATGGGTCAGGCTACCTCCCCAGAGTGGCCTCAGAATCCTTCCTACCACAGTTCCCCAGGCCACTCCACCAAGGGGGCTCATTCTGTCTTAGGGAGGCACATGTGGCCTGTCCTTGGGACACCCGATAAATGGCTATGGGGTTAGGAGCTGGGGCCACGTGGTGGTGACGGGTCAGCAATTCTACCAAAGGGCAGGAGGTAGCCAGCATTTGCCCTGTTAGCCCCTCCGTTCCTTCCACCCCGTGAGGACCCAGCATAAAGGGCGCCATCTTGGAAGTCAAGACCTTGACCTTGACCTTGGACTTCCTGGCCTCCAGGACTGTGGGAAGTCAATGTTGCCCTTAATCTTTTGCTCAGCAGCACACCCCAGCCCGGGAGAGCCAGGCGCCCATCTCTGCCCTGCCGCTGTCTGGCTGCGTGGCCTGAGCCTCAACCCTGTTCACCCCCAGCCTCCGTGCCCAGGTCTCCCGGGCGGCAGGGGGATGTCGGAGGTGAAGTTCAAGGCTGAGCACGTGTCAGGGGCTTGTTGCTTGGTCCCCTGGGTGTGGTGCCAGGACAGGGGACCCAAACTGGCCGGGGTTGCTGGCCACTCAGAAAGGAAAACAAAAGCCAACATCTGTTTCCTGAGGAGCTATTTGAGGCGCTGGGTCTTTGGGTAAAACCCAGAGCAGCCCTTCTGAGTCAGCAGAGCTGGGCAGAGTTCCCCTGCCCTCCACAGCCCCGCAGCGGGACTCCTGCCCAGCCCTGCTCGCCTGGCTCTCCGAGCAAAGTTGTTACCTAAGGAGAGACAGAGGTTAGACAGAAGGCAGGACTTCCGCCCCTCAGGGGTTGGGGGCCGGCCAAGGTGGACAGCAGGGGAATGAACAGAACCCATCCCCTGGTGGGACTTGAAGAGCCGGGCCATCGGGGGCTACTTGGGCCGCATGTGTCCCGTGAGGGCTCTGGCTAGATGGGCGCTGGTTAATGGGGGGCAGCCACTCGACCTGTATGAGTCACAAGTGGACGGAGGCCATCGGCTCTGGGTCCCGACGGCCTCTAGCCATGTCCAGGAGCTCCCTTGGCCAGCGCAGCCCCAGCTGGACTGTGTGGGAGGAGGGGCCCCCTGCCACCCCCCGACCGGGGGCAGCTACTTACCACCCTGCAGCACCAGCAGGAGCACGGGCACCGCCCAGCCTCGGGGCATGCTGCGTCCTGGGGCCTGCAAGACACACACAGGGGGGGGGGGGGGGGGTGGGCGGGCAGGCCTCAACCCCCGGCCTCCCCAGGCAGGCCTCAACCCCCGGCCTCCCCGGGCCAGCCTGGGCAGGGTCCTGCGAGGTCTGAGGGGTCCGCGGGGGCTGGCCCGGGCCTCCTGCCCCTTAGCCAAGGTCACTCCTCCCACAGCCCCCGCCCAGCTCCTTCTTCTCCCTCTTAGCACAGGAAAGGAGACCTCGAGGGGGGGACACTGGCTCTTCCTCTGTCCCTGCCAGGCCCACTGATGTGGCAAGAGTGGGATTAAAGGGGCGGGCACTTCTCTGCCCACCCGAGTCCTCTCCCCGTGCTGACAGTGGCCCTGGAAATTGGCTTCTCCCTCACCAGGAATCCAAGGCAGCCCGCCAAGGGACCGCTACCCCACACGCAGGTGAGGCCACCCGAGAATGAGGCTTCTTACCCCGTCCCACAGCCCAGGTCGGCCCACTGCGGGGCGCTCTAAGAAATTCAGTCCCAACCAAGGAAGGGCCGCCTGGGCCCCCGATCCTGCCCGAGATGGAGACCAGACAGCTTGTCTGGGAAGAGCCGCCTTCGACGCCCCGGCAGGGAGTGACCCTCCGGGCTGGGGACGAGGCTCTTCTAGAACTTTGCCTGTTAAAGCAGCCAGCTCTGCTGGGGAGCACCGGCGGCCAGTAGGACCCAGGCTCAGGAGCTCCATCCCAACCAGCCCCTGTCGAAGGGGCACAGCTGGACCTGGAGCCCAGAGAGATGACCCTGGGGTCCCATCCCAGAGATGACCCAGGAGTCCCATCAGGCACTGCTCTCCTCAGACACTCTCTCTGACCCCTCCATAGCAGTTCCTGATTGGAGTCCCCCAGATCCTACTCTGGCCCCATCGACAGCCCTGTGTGAATTTTTTTCCTAACAAAGTCAACAAGGAAGCCATCCTGGGGGACACTGGCTGTGCAGCCAGAAACTTTCAGAGTACCTGCTGTGTGGCCACAGGACAGCCCCTCGCCCTCTCTGAGCCTCATAAAGTGGAGACTTCCAGGGATTCGTGAGCATTTAGGGAGGTCGATGGCAGAAAACTCTTGACAGTGCCCTCGGACACATAAAGACTCGGCTGAGATCCCTGTAAAACTCGGAGCATCAGAAACGGAAACTCCCAGAAGGATCCAGCCAAAAGTTTCCAAAATTCCTCCCTTTCAAAATTTCGGCCACTGGCTCACAGAGAGATACTGTTCATTATCTATATTTTCTTAAATGGATCCATGTAAAAATCAAAGTGCAACTTCATCCTAATAGATAACATCCGTGTTCGTGTATTTTTTTAGAACAGGCTTTAAAATGAACTACGGTGCTGTCACCATAAGGGAATGTTCGGAGGAACTCCGTCTCCACCTGCGTCTGGGAGCAGTGCCCTGTGTGACCTGGGACCTTCAGCCTTGTGCTGTGACTTAGACCACGTCCTCCAAAGTTCAAGTGCTGGGACCTTATCCCCAAAGTCCCCTGTGGCTGGATGGTACTTGGTGGGGGGTGTCTTTGAGGGGTCTTAGGAATACATGAGGGGCATGAGGCTCTCCCCAGAGGCTAAGCAGGTGTCAGAACCTCGCTCTCAGACTCCCCGCCTCCAGCATCATGAGCCAAATCCTAGTCACTAAAAATGACCAGAACTGTCAGGCACGGTGGCCCACGCCTGTCATCCCAACAGCCCAAGAGGCTGAGGTGGGGGGGGGGATCGCAAGTTCAAAGCCAGCCTAACATTTCTAACATTCTTTTAGCGATACCCTGTCTCTAAATAAAATATAAAAAGGGCTGGGGATGGGGCGCAGTGGTTAAGCACCTTGGAGTTCAATCTCCAGTATTAAAAAAAAAAAAAAGACCCAACCTCAGGTGTTTTGTTTTAGCAGCAGAAAGTGAACTAAGACATTGTTGTTCCACCTTGAACAGGAGCGTCCGTGTCTGCTCTCCCACTAGCAAGTCCACAGCTCCGACCTCGACCGCAGCACAAGAATAGCCCTGTCCGGGTCCCTGCCCAATGGCTTCCTCTCAGCCACAGGAAAAAGTCTCCTTTCCAAGGATCAGGGCTCAGCCTCCAAACTCGTTGCCTTAGCTCTGCACAAGCCCGACTCCTGGGGGTGTCAAGGCGCCCGCTGGCTGTGTGGCCCTTGTCATGAGGTGTCCCATAAACTGGAGCCCACCTACGCAGCACAGAGTGGGCACCTGACCCAGGCCTGGCCAATTCGAGGGCTCCACTTGTCACCAAGGGCTCCCGGCCACAGCGGCTGGATCAGGGATGGACCTAAAACCAGGCAACACCATTGACACAGTCCTGGGGATTTTTCCCTAGAACTGCAGCAGGGGGACTTTTGGGGGTACCTGCTAGAAACTCGCAGCCATCTTGGTCACCTCCTAACGCCTGCCTGGAAAGGATGAAATTACTGTGAAGCACAGACTCAGAGTCCCCACAGCAGCTTTGAGGACCTGGATCCAGCCGTACCTGACGGCCGCATCTGGACCATTCACTGACATGAGCCCCCAAGCCCTTGCTTTGCTCAGCTGTGCCAAAGGCTGTTTCTGTTGCTTACCACCAAGGACATCTGATAGAGAGGGAGGGAAAAGAGGGCCCAGATTTGAGGATCGTGGAGCAAAATCCTTCCCCTGGTCCTCAGTTACCGTCTCCGAGACGGGAGCAACCCCGGCCTCTGCTCCCGGCCTCTGATTCCGGGCTGTGAGCCGCGAGAAACTCCTCCAGAGGCCGGATCCCTCCTCCCGCGTGCTCCAGAGGCAGCACCCCTCCCAGCACCCCAGGCCCCGTCACGCCCCTGTGCACGGCCGAGTCCTCTCCCCCTGGCACTGTCCCTCTCCTGTCCTCCAGCCCAGCTCCCACGGCCCACCTCCTCCCTCCCAATGCCATGCCGGAATGTTCCAGAACTCTGCCACTCGCACCTTCCCTGGGGCTGTTATCTGCTTGCTATTTCTCATCCCCTTCCCCCATTTTTTACTCCAATCAACATGGCCCCAAAGAAAACCCTGCAGATGACCAGGATGCCCGGGCGGGCGCCACACCCGCTGGCCCCCCAAGTGTCCCCTAAAGTAAACAACGATGCACCACGACAGGGACACAGCGGAGAGTGACCGCTCGGCCGGGAAGCAGGACAGCGTGGAGCCTTGGGGACGCCTGTGACCGGCCCAGGGCTCCCCGATTCAGCTTGCCCCCGTTTAAAAGCGGGAGGAAGAGCACCGTGTTTGAGGCCTTGCAGAACCAAATGGCCGGGGCCAGGTTCTGGCTTCTGCCCAGACGGTGAGCAGAGAAGGCAGAGGCCCTGCCCAGACGGCCGCCCCCCAGCGCCACCTCCCTCTCTGCCCCGCGCCCAGCCCTTTAGGCGTCTTCCCACTCAAGCGGACTCCTGAGGGCCGTGGTGACTTTCTCCCCATGTGAACCAGGCCACTCCAGAAAGAAGCCCAGAGTGTCCTGAGCCTTCCCTCCGTGGCCTCCCTGCAGCGCCCACCTCCACGGCCTCCTCCAGGAGAGAGAAGAGTCCCTGAATTGGAGTCTACAGCATCCCAGCTGTGTGTCCTTGGGCAAGTCACCTAACCCCTCTGATTCTGTTTTCTCATGTATAAAATGGGGGGTCACGGATCTCTGCTGCCGGTTTCTTGTGAGCACAGGCTGCACCCCGCAGGAGGAGACTTGCAGAAGGGTTCACCCAGCAGGCTCTGGGGCAGAGACATGATTTTGGCCAGGTTTTGGGACATTCTGGGACAGCAGAGAGGCTCGGGGGTAGGAGACCAGGCTGGAGTCTGAGCTGTGGAGAACGTGAAGTGCTTAACTTTCCCATCAGCACAGAAATGCAAACGAAAGCCACAGTGACAGACCATTTGACTTTATCAGATTGGCAAAGAAGTAAAAGCTCAACCCACATCACGTGGAGCCCAGGATGTGCCCTCACGGGAACTCTCGCCCGCCACCAGTGGGACGTAGACTAATATTTACTACCAGCATCCATCCTCCTGTGAACGCAGGTTGTCCGTGTGACCCAGGGACATGAGCCAGTGTCCCCCGAGGCCCGGCAACGCCACCCTTCACACTCTCCCTGTGCGTCCAAGAAGGGTCCACGGCAGCCTCACTTCTAAGAGGGACAAGTGAGGGGCAACCCAGACGTTCACCATCAGGAGAATGGAAACAATACAGGGTGACATAATGGCTCGGTGTGACAGTGAGTCATTTGCCACGGCACACGACGGAGCTTGTGACTCACAAAGAAAACAGGGAGAGACAGAACGCAGGCGCCACCCGCCATGGTGCCCGCTTCAAACCACATAAGACGATAGTTTAAGCAATCACACAGGTGTCCTGAAGGCAGGAAGGACCCACGGAGGTGACAAATGTCAAATCTGAATAGTGTAGAAAAGGGGTCTCAACAGTTTGGAAAAACTGGGTGAAACTACACTGGGTGTTGGTTATATGACTGTTTACACCCTTTGACGTGTCCAAACTATCTCACAGGCTGGGTGCAGTGGTGAATGTCTCTAATTCAGCAGCTCGGGAGGCTGAGACAGGAGGATCACAAGTTGGAGGCCAGCCTCAGCAACTTGTCGAGGTCCTGAGCAACTTAGCGAGACCCTGTCTAAAATAAAACATAAAAAGGGTTGGGGGATGTGGCTCAGTGGTGAATTGCCCCTGGGTTCAATCCCCAGTACCAAAACTAAATAAAAAAAAAATAAGTATAAAAAAACCCCAAAAGTATCTCACCACATTTAAAATGGAAACGAACCTCGGTTTTGTAAAATTACATATGGAGAGAGGCTGTGATGGACTAGTGTTCTACTGAGAACAGCCTCTAAGCAGGGGAAATGCTACATGAGCAACCAACCACGTTATTCAGTACTTGGGAAAAGGAAAAGCCATTGAGATTTTGCCAGTTCCCCTCAAATCGTTGAAAATGAGAAGCACGTCAAGAAATCCAGCATAAATTAATCTCCTGATAAGCTACAAAACTAAGA